GACGTGAAACAGCCCATAAAAGAACGTATTTGAGCATTAATGTCCAATACAATTACTCTAGTAGATTAATTAATCCTTGTCTTGTTACTTTATCATACTAATTACAATGGACTGCCCGACTGACATGATGAATGAAAGTGGTTAAACCAGACACGTTTTTATTTCTAGATCGCTATTTATAGACCGAGTCCTCCGAACGGTTGTACCGTCCAAGTATATTTTACTTAAAATATTTATCTCCTGAACTAAAACAAAAAAATATTCTTTTTATTTCTTATTCAACAAATAGCCCCCCCCCCCCCTCCCTTTATGTTCAGACTCGATCTTAAAGATGGTGACCAAAGTTTTGAATATAACGTATGTTTTATAATCATTGTACATTCTTTATGCTTGAACCCATTAGCACGATACACTGAATTACCTCATAAATGATGAAAATGTAAATCTCATTCCTTAAACAAATCTTAAATGTTTGTTATATTTATGTTTCAGTTCCAGAAAGAAAATATTTTTGTTATTAAAATATATTAAATAAGAATTACAGCCCTGCATTATTATATATTATAAAAGTAATATATTAGTATATAGACTTACACTAAAAGTTTGTGGTATAATATTTTAGTGCGCATACTAACATCATTACATTATATCAATGGAAAACATAATTATTTTACTTATACATTATGACATTTTACTTTTTCACTTGAACATTGCTCCGTCATATTCAATATACATTAATGTACGTTTACAGAAAGGGTCTATCCTGTCTTAATCTGTGAAAAAAATGTGTAAAGGGTTGCATCTGACATATACAGAAGAAAAGTGAGGAGAAGCCAATGTGAAATATTGCTGAAGATCAAATAAGGTTCTTTTGAGAGATGATAAATCAATAGTGAATTAAAAACACATGAAACTAAATTAAATTTCCAGAAATTTATGATTTAAAGGATTTAATTTTAATTTAACCCCATATAGTGTATATCTTCCAGTAGGAGCAATACACACACGTGTACCGTTAACGTTAGGTCATGATAAAGTAACAACTGTCCACTGCGCGGGGAAGAAATATTTCATAAAATTACGTGATGTTTGTAAGCACCCTTGACTTGTCAATGACATAAACAATCCTTTCGTGATAAAGGATGGACATCCTGGCCAACAATGGGAGCTGACAGAGACATCTATCTCCAGGAATCGTGAGGGCCCCGAGCGAGTAACGGTCAGTTAGGTTACACTGTGTATTATTCAATACGTCACAAATCGCCTGTTACCGTTGTAGATACTAATGATACAGTTGACTCACATCGAGGTCAAACGTCTATTTATCAACATCTTTAAGGATGCTATAAGTTATTAAGGTGTTCGTAGCATTTGTTTTTGTCGACCATTTGTCGCCCTAATGACCTATCCTGTGTTGATTGGCCGTTTAGCATTGATATTGATAATGATAATGTACTAAAAAGTGTATAACTTCTTACTCTCTAAATTTTTGCTTTCATGTATTTGAAAACCGATTTGCTCCATATTGAATACGCCTATGTATATATATGAACTGCTAATTGTTTGTCATGCTTATCCAGTATCAAACCCTATAGATATTGTTCACGGAGTGATGTAACGTCTGACAACATAAGATACATGCAAAAACAAAACAAAAATGTATACAGATATCAATACAGTCAAAAGAAAGTACAATATTACATCATATACAAATGCATATACACATGCTTATATTAAACGCATGCATATGACAATTATATACATATATTTTGTATTCCGTCTTATCGTATTGTAGAGTAATCTGCTCTTGTGAGCAGGTATTGATTGTTACGTAATTAGTTTGTGTGAGAAAATTATGTCGTTTCTCAAACAAATATGACGTTACTCTCACAAACAAATGACGTAACAATCAAAACCTGCTCACAAGGCAGATAACTTTGCAATACGAAATGACGGAATTATACAATTTATATACTATTTTTTACAAATGAACGCTTGATATATGTGTAACACAGAGTCACAGCACTTTGTACTGTGCACGTTTCAGTTCTTTTGTTTCTATTGTAAACCACATTATTGATATTTCTTTGTCTAATTGATATATCATTATATGTACACGATCGTGTTGATTGTATTACTATAACAAAGTTTTCTTAACACATGTTGACAGCGTCAACAGACGTACGTATACTTTAACGATGTGTGACGTTTATCGCGTCATTAACACCGCCTTGAGTGATGACCCTTCATAACATTGCGATAACAAATAATATAATACTATTTACTTCGTGTATTTGGGCTGTGTTCTTGTCAACGCTTATGTCACATTTCTTGTCTATGGCGGTAGTTTTGACCTCTGACCCCTAGGGTGGAAGCGGCCAGTGACAGCGTCATTTGTTGTAAGATATAATGGCGGGGTGTTCGTGTCGAGGGGACACAGGGAAACATTCCTTTGTGTTTCATGTTACCTGTACACGTCAACTTGTTGCAATTTATAAGATTAAGGCGCACTTGAGTGTATTCACATGAATAATAGTATTCTCATATTTTCATGATATAACTGCTATACAACCTATCCTTCTAACGATGAACGCCGTCACTGTTCCGTTTTAATTAAGCTGCAATTTTTACAATGGATAATTTTGAAACTTGAAGCCAGATGACTTTAAAATGCAAATATCATTTTGAAACAACAAAAAATAAAGTAAAACCTTGGCGATTCCTTGTTCTTGGTATAACATGTTTACATTATATCATTTTGAACTAAAAATAAGATGATTAAACTACTTTCAGACGGCTAGTTTACGTAAAAGGAATGTTAGCAAATCCCACATGAACGGTTCACCGCTTATTGCAACTTCTGTGTATGTCAACTGTAACCTTGTGATTGCTATTTTAAGATATGATACTGCTTTTTAAATATGATACGATACATAAAATGTTTAAGAAATAAGCTTTTATAAGTTATCTGTTATAATTATATTTTATAAGTTATCTGTTATAATTTTATTTTATGAAGTTACAAATGGTTTGTATATTCCTTTTTTATTTTTTATTTTCTACAGATGTTTCGTGAAATTTGAAATGTGACTTTTCATTATTTTGATGCTAAGTGTTATGAGTTACTTACGGACGACATGGCCACTCGGTGGTGTAAGAAACCTGTTTATTTAGGTTTTTTTTATCTATCCTTAAATGAGTTTTTTCCTTACTTTGTGTGTTTCTTCTTATCACTCATACAACCGATTACATAATAAGAAAAAGCAGCACCATCATTGACACCTAAACAATAGGAAACACATCAACAGCAGGAAGGAGACAAAAACGACATTGAAGGAAACACAACTTAAAGAAATGGAGGGCAACAACAGCAACCATAAAACATGGCAACAAAAGACAAGAATTTCCTCCAAAAATTAGAGGAAAAACGTTGTTCCAGATATCGGAGTGTTTGTTGCGCCGTAGGAGGCGGTCATGTATGTGTTTCTCGTGATATGCATATCTTTAAATAAAAACAAATATTAACTCAATACCATGTACTTTCATTGATGCTTGACACTAGAACCTCAAAGTGGAATCATGAAATATTTTTGTTTTCAACTGTTAATTGAAGCAGTTCTGATAGACAACTTTGGCACAGTACTTTATTTTAATAGTATGGATCTGGTCTGTTATTTTGTTTAAACAGATTAGAGATTTCCACAATGCACGTTTTATTGATGCATGAAGTTCCGTGTGGCAGTAGTTAGAACGATAATGTTATTAAAGGCATTTTCAATTTGTACGACTAACTGCAAACCGGGAAGTTCAGAAATATATTCTTTGCCATCAAAACAGGTGTTACGGCGAGATTGCCGGGTTTACTTTTCTGACATGATATTCCGTCTTTGCGTATTGTAGAGTGAGCAGGTATTGGTTATTGCGTCATTGGTTTGTGTGAGAAAATTACATCGTTTTCTCAAAATTTGATGACGTTACTCTCAAAAACAAATGACGTAACAATCAATACCTGCTCACAAGAGAAGATAACTCTGCAATACGCAAAGACGGAATAATGTTGTCGATGACACGTAAAGTTTATCCTGTCAAAATACTTGTTACTGTCACGTTTACTTTCTATCATTTTGTTTCATGGCGCCAAACATGTATTTATCGAAACCAATCGAGCTTTTTGTCTTCGTCTATTTAAAAAAAAAAGTTTCAGGAAACACAGCTTGAAAACATGTATATGTCTTAATAGAAATAACAATTCTTTAGAAGAAATTACAATTAGTTAGAATTCATAAGAAAAACGCAATTGCACCGTCCATATTTATTAACCCAGATCAGTATCACTTGTCTAAACGATCAAACCGCCTGGTGAGCGATGAACGAGAGGTGGACCTGGTCTGCTAAATTAATACGTTTGCCGTTTGTGGTATTATATATATACCTGACAGAATGCCTAGTCTGACCAGATAGAACTGGTGACCTGCTGTCTATGGTGATATATGTACAGATGACCAGGCCTGCATATTGGCCCGCGGGCACGAGCCGATGTCGTCATTCTGTCTCTGTCACAAAGGATAATGGTCACCATCCTCATGATAAGTCATAGGAATTGACGTAGAACATATATCCCTGATTGTCACTGATGTATGTGTAAAACGTCGGCTATATATGTGTAAAACGTCGGCTATATATGTGTAAAACGTCGGCTATATATGTGTAAAACGTTTGATTTATGTGTGTAAAACGTCTTCTTTATGTGTGTTAAAGTTCAAAGCATTATGTGTAAAACGTCAAAAACGTATTTTTACTATTCACATGAATGAAAGATAGCAAAATACATTTTGAACGTGTGTAGGAGACCATCCTCATAATTAATATTATTATATCAGTTGCTTCTGATAAATCTCCACTGTAAACGCGCAAAACGTCATGAATATACGTGTATTACATGTACGTCAAAAATAAATGCGTAACTAATAGTATTGGTAAGTAACGAAATATGTACTTACCATATTGAACACACAGCACTGAAAAATATAAGATGAAATATAAATAAACGAAGTCAATACACAGACATTTCCGTAAAATATAGCTTGTTTAAGTAGCTTAAACACGGAATTAACCTAATGTCGTCGTAAGTTAGCAAATTGTTACTTATCAATTCGTGCTTTCCTTACCTTAATACAATATCAACCTGCTAAATTATGTTATATATACTTTATTTCTGAGGCTAGTGTTACCAGTCGGTAACGACGTAGTAGCTAACGTACATAGCAATGACAGTTGATTTCGTTTCTATTTTATTACATATGTTTTAAATATTGAAAAGTATTTTCAAAGTGTATGAATAAAAATATGCATTTCTGTTAGAATATGTAAAATCAGTTATACAGACGGGATACAATGAGTTACATCAGATAATATTTATACCGGAAGGGGCAATGTAACGTGTAACAAAGAAAACACAATGTATGACGGTAATTAGACGATAAAAGTAGACATTAAAATTAAACCAGAAGTAATCAGATAGATTAAGACGAAAGCAAATTAAAACAAAAAGATGTTATAAGGATAAAAGAAGACACTATAGGAGCTTAGTGCAACAAGGTCGAATTTAAAACATGACAAAACAAACTGTACCGGAAGTGACAGGAATGAACATATTTAAAAAAACTACTTTTATTGCATTTTATCCATAACTCCATTTTGAAAATGTTGATAACGACCAGCATAACTACAATGTAAAACAGGTATTTCCGAACGACAGTCAATACAACTGTAGGTGTATTCGTTTGAATACAACTAACCTGCATTAAATAAAATCCATGCATATCTTAAGTCAAACCCGCCTTTAGTTAGTGATCACATGTCTAATAATGACTGTACAAACCTTCAATACAGACAACATGTCCATAAATAAAGTCAAACCCTGTCTAAGAGACCACCTGTCTAAAACTACAGTCAAACCCGCCATAACTACATATCTACAACTACAGTCAAACCTGCCCTAGATACCATCTGTCTATAACGTCAGTCAAACCCGCCATAACTACGTGTCTATAACTACGCCAAACCTGCCTTAGAGACCATCTGTCCATAATGTCAGTCAAACCCGCCATAACTACGTGTCTATAACTACAGTCAAACTCGTTATAACTACGTGTCTATAACTTCAGTCAAACCTGTCTTAGAAACCACCTGTCTATAACTACAGTCAAACTCGTCATAACTACGTGTCTATAACTACAGTCAAACCTGTCTTAGAGACCACCTGTCTAAAACTATAGTTAAACTCGCCATAACTACGTGTCTATAACTACAGTCAAACTCGCCATAACTACGTGTCTATAACTACAGCCAAACCTGTCTTAGAGACCACCTGTCTATAACGTCAGTCAAACCCGCCATAACTACGTGTCTATAACTACAGCCAAACCTGTCTTAGAGACCATCTGTCTATAACGTCAGTCAACCCCGCTATAACTACGTGTCTATGACTACAGTCAAACCTGTCTTAGAGACCATCTGTCTATACCGTCAGTCAAACCCGCCATAACTACGTGTCTATAACTACAGTCAAACCCGCCATAACTACGTATCTATAACTACAAGCAAACCTGCCTTAGAGACCACCTGTCTATAACTACAGTCAAACCCGCCATAACTACGTATCTATAACTACAATCAAACCTGCCTTAGAGACCACCTGTCTATAACTACAGTCAAACCTGTCTTAGAGACCATCTGTCTGTACCGTCAGTCAAACCCACTATGACTACAGACAAACCTGTCTTAGAGACCATCTGTCTATACCGTCAGTCAAACCCACTATGACTACAGTCAAACCTGTCTTAGAGACCATCTATCTATACCGTCAATCAACCCGCCATAACTACGTGTCTATAACTACAGTCAAACCTGCCTTAGAGACCATCTGTCTATACCGTCAGTCAACCCCACTATGACTACAGTCAACCCTGTCTTAGAGACCATCTATCTATCCCGTCAATCACCCCGCCATAACTACGTGTCTATAACTACAGTCAACCCTGCCTTAGAGACCACCTGTCTATAACGTCAGTCAAACCCGCTATAACCACGTGTCTATTACTACAGTCAAACCTGTCTTAGAGACCATCTGTCCATAATGTCAGTCAAACCCGCCATAACTACGTGTCTATGGCTTCAGAAACACATGCCTCAGAGCCTATACGTCTATCATTAAGGTTGAATCTATAGGCGAATGCATACTTATTAAGGACAGTAAGCGCGATAAGGTATATAGGTTTTGTAGTGAAACGTATTTCTCTTAAAAATATATATAAACAAGTGTTATACTAGATAATGTGCAGTGGTACATCTGGCCTACAAGCTGAGGAAGCCGAGCTGATGATGACGTCACCCATGTCGAGGAACGTACAGCAGAAACGCAGTTACGCCTAATGTTTAATTATTTTGTAGATAATATGTGTTGCGTTTTTTCATTTAAAGTAAACAGACAACACTATTTATCATATCGTGACAGCCAGCAGAACCTTAAACAAAGCACTGTATCGTTGACAACGAGCCTTTTGTGCGTTTAAATTTGATATGTAACATCAGCAAATAATTAAAAGGATCAAGGACAACAATGCCACGCTCTAACCACGAAGAGATTACTTAGACTAGAACACACTTCAACATCATCTAAAGAACAACACATTCCAACTAAATATATCTAGTAAAGCAAAATATGAAAATAAATATCATCGCACTTTAAGATTCCAATAAACAAAATAGCCCCAAAATATCTTATAAGACCTCGTTCCCATACATAACTTTAAAAACAGCATATTCCAGGAATATCACAAATATCACATTCCAGAACACAGAATATCGTACTTTTGTTTGTCGAGGGGTTTTATAATTGAATACTTTAAGTGTTATAAGGGAGCGATAGGTTTAAACGGGAGATAAAAGTGGGAAGGTAAAACGAAACATCGAGGAAATGGCGACAGAAAAAAATAGCGAAAAACAGAGAAAACATTGGAAGACGAAAAGTAAAACGACTCGAGAGTTTAAGCATACAACATTCGTAAGCAGTTGGATCAAATGTTTTTCACTATTTTTTTTGCTTTTTGGAAAAAAAGTCTGGGAAAATATAGGAAAACTGAAATAAAAGAAACTATATTTACCTGCTGTAATTAGTATTAAAATCCTCATGTTGACGGTTTATAATAAATAACATAAATGTTTTTAGATGGTATAAAATGGTCGAATTATTCCACGACACATAAAGTCCTTGGCTTCCAGCGCCAGTCAATGTTCACACGTTGGGGCCAGCCCTGTCTCTGAGTCCACGGTCAGGATCCCCACACTCTATAGTTCGGCACTGAGAGAGGCCCACGGAAGGGGCAGCACATATACATACTGTCCGGATATCTCACGGAACCTCCGTCATTCGGCTTTGTTCGTTAGTATAACGATATCAGTTCCGTGACTATGTGTGTAATTAAATAAACATAGTAAAACAAGTCTAGCCAGTTTTGTTCATCTTGTCGACAGCACTAAAATGTTATAGTCCTTTACGCACACCAGTAAGGAGCGATGGTCAAAAGACGATAAGTTTTTAATAACAACAACATTTATAATATGATTTGCCAATGGCTGATCTAGCTACTGATTCCAGAGGTGTCTGATGAAATTAATTATTAATGAAATACGATATAAAAGAAGAAAGGGAAGAAGAAAAAGAAAAGAAACGTTTTGAAAGAAAGGACAGATTCTTTGGAGGTTTACGATGAACTCTATTTTAAATTCCACAATGATATTTAAATTACAAAATAGAACTACATGCATATGGATTAAAATTGTGATACGAAAACTAACAATATATATATATGTCTTGAAAAAGTTCGGCATATATATGTAAAATTTACTTCCGTATGTAAAATTTTGTATAGTTTGATGTGCATAATATAAAAAGTTTAGCTTTTGTATACAGGTAAACTTGTTAGTGTGTAAGTATGACCAAACCTTTGTGTTTATGTGTGAATATTGTGCAAACCACATCACATACGGAAGTAAATTGATATAACACACGAACAAAAAAACCCAGAACTTTAGTGTGAGTCAACGACTCCACACACGTATATTAATTATAACGGTTACCTTTGAGAATACATTTGCATAAAAGGTATCAAAAGTAATTAGTGGCATGGCAGAAAGGACACTTCTAGAATCTAGAATTGATAGATTGTGTCGACTAAGGCACCATCTACTCAACCCTTGTATCCTTATAACTAGTGTCTCTGTCTACAGGATGTTTGTTAACATCCGGGTATTCGTGTCGATCAAAATTAAAGCTCCTTCTACAGGATGTTAACATTCTTGTATAACCCTACATGTTTTAGTCTGCTGGATAACGAAACTACTCGTTGATAAAGCGGACGTAAACCACACAAATAAAGTCCTACACATTGTGCCGTCGTTGTCAGCTGACCTCGTTTTTTCCCGTTTTCATTTATAATCAAGGCCATTATGATTTGATATCTGTACCTGTCACCAGGGGGCACTGTACGTTAGCTAAAAACTGGAAAGAGATGATTCCTGTCTCATCATGTTAATAATGATAATATGTTACGTCGTCTAAGAGCTTCATGTTCTTTGTATCGTGTCTGAAGACAGACAAGAAAATAAAACAAGGTATTTAAAATCAAATTATTTTCAGAAGAGAAAACATCAAAAGTTATATCATGCCGCCAGTCTGACAGACTTTAAAACCTAAACAAACCTCATAATGACAGGATTAATTCAGAGAATTACGACAGCGTCATCCTATTCATATTTTGAGGATTTGGTTTGTTGTAATGTATGATATCTTTTTACTAATTTGTGCGTGTATATATATAAGACGTAAGCCCATTATGTAGATGCGGACTAGTGGAAAGTAGTAGTACTTATATGTAATATTTCCATTTGCTCTGCATTGCCACTATATAACCTTACCAAACAAAATAGAAAGATATCAGATCATAATTCTCACATAATTCCCATTGGTGTAGTGATATGAAGATCAACATGTTCGCGACGTCGTGACTAAATGATGTCGTTTTGACCGACGTCACTATATTAAGTGTATTACTGACGTCACGAAAAAATGTCACAATACCCATTCCTCGTGGTAACCTATCCGTGCTACCGGATTATAAACCCCGATTGATCAATGTAACTAGCAACAGTGTACGAAGTTATGTTGTATAAATAGTGAATATCCTCACGGTGGAATATATAGATTAAACTGTTAAAATTAAATTGATAATTGTGTTTATTTTCACGAACTATATTTTTTGCCGGGACCGGTCGCTATAGTCGTGACGTCACAATAACAGGTCCCACTGACAGACAGCGCGACATTTGACTTTAAAATGCGATAACAGATTGGAAATATGTAAGAAAAATTAGATTAGAAACGGAAATATAAGTATTAAACTGCCTTCTTTGGAAAGTATTTATCATAACGAGCTAACGCGCGCTATTCAATTTGCTTGCAGTCCTGTGAGAATTATAGGACAATTACTTTCCAAAGAAGACAGTTTAATGCTTAAATAATTACACAAGAATATGACAAAATCCTTATAGATGGCTTATTAACCTTACTGAAATTACCTTTTTACGCGGGAGTACTGAATTTTCAATACAGAAGACGAAGAAATATTTTTGTCAGTTCAGATTCTTATCAAACTCAGTAAACGGTTTAGTTACATGCAATCCTTATACACATGCTCATGTACGACCTCATTATTGTAGTTATTATTCTAAATAGTTTCTACATCGATTATATATTGTATATTGTAATGGAAAGTGGTTTTTTTTTTAATATATTCTTGATTGGTGTTTTTTTATATTCTAAATACATTATATCGAGACGTATACGTTTATAAGTACATGTGTGTGTGAACATGTACGAGCGCGCCATCGTCCGTCCGTCCGTCCGTCCGTCCGTCGGATATAGAGCCTTGTCTATGTAGAAGCGGTCACTTTAGCAGCATAAACGGGAATTGATATGCAATTCATACCATTAAAAGTACTATATATCATCAGTATAAGTTTTGAGGTATTCGCAGTAACTGCCTTATCAGGTACCTATTACGTGCCCTCTGCCACCTGAACTATATATCCATGTGTGTGTAGAATTATGTTTGCGCTGGGTATGTAATCAAACTGTACGAGACTTGGATAGAGAATAACATAAACAAGAAAATGCAGAGAAGCCGCTGGACACCAAATCTTTGTTTTCACAATGACGTCATGACAATCCAACAACCACGAGGGAACGGATCCTGCATACTTTCATTAAGTCTTCGAATATGTTTGTTAATGACAATATTTCGTTCACTCTCAATATCCTCACATGTTGCACTATTGTCACTCAATAGTTGTCCTAAAGCACGCAATTGTACATTTTTAACTCCACGTTTAAATGTCAACGATTTGGTAATAACGCCATCTTCTCAGAGAGAGAAAAGACTTCATGATTTACATGTTATTTGTTTCAACTATTTGTGAGTAATTGATGTTAAAGGAGAAATAATTTAACATATCTTGTGGATCAATGAGTGCAATTAAATATCTTGAAATGTATGTAGTATTGTATTTATGAAAACAAGGGGAATAAGTCTTAAAGTTATTATCCGATAATTGTAATTACACTCATTCCACTGATTCAGGGGGCATAACTCAGTACGATATTTCTGGTACTGGTGGTTATTCAACTTGTTCGAGATCTCGTGGTAATTAACCTTCCTATGAATATTGAAGTTAATTTGTTGAAAATTACTCACGGTATAGAGCGAACAATATTTCAGCAATCAATCAAAGGGACATAACTCCGTAAGTGTCTGTCGAATGACGGTGGCTAACCTTCCTTTGAAGTTTGAAGTTAATCCGTTGAATTCTTACAATAAATGTGTATTGATCTTAACGATAAATCAGAAAACACGAAGCGATTTTAAAAATAAATATAAACATGTACCGTTCTGAATTGATTTTTTTGGAGGGAAAACTGAAAAATATGCAAATACGTAAGGAAAAATCCAAAAATATTATCGATTTTAAGAACAAATGAGAGAATGTGGACCGATTTGAATCTTAGATAAGAATGAAAGCCAGCAAAATAACGATAACAATGATAAAAATGTTCCTGAAATTACACCTGATAAGTTAACTTACCACTGTTTGAAGATATAAATGTAAAGCGGTATTGTAACGCTTTTACTTACATAATCTATGGGACAAATTATGCCTTTATCATTAAAACCACAAATTAAGATATTGTATGTCTTCAATATAAGTACCAGGTGTATTGCACACATATTGTATTACAGAGGGACCTATGTTGTAAAACATACAATAATGACATTAATGTGTAATATATAACACGTTCTATTTATAGAATTTTACTATAGCTACCAAGGTGACAGATCATGTATATATTCGTGTGACGAACGTCTTTCTAATAAATAGCAAAAACAGTCGTTCGGTTTACCGTAATAATTGGGGTGATAGTAGGGAACCCTGTGGCATGCCTCCTATTAATTCCTGAACGAAGACACAACCCTGTGGGCTAAAGCACGTAACTGTCAGCAGAAACAATACCACGTTGATAAATTGACCTGTTGACCGAACATCGCAGTTGAGACCAAAAACATAACATCCACACATGGTCATTTCTACGACCGTATTTGTCATCGTCAGAATATACAGGCATGACCGGAAGTGCTAAATTAATTTAACTTTATTATAACATTTTGAATGTATACGGCATAATTTCTGAAAAACTGTTACACGAAAACTTGATTTTAAATCAACATTTGAAAATCGTGTGAAATAACCCGTCTTTAGTTGTATTTTCGTGAATTTACAAAAAATAACCTACGTATGAATGTTACTTTTTCTCATTTTTTTAAATCCAGATGTTTTGTACAGCAACCCGTATAAATCATTGCAACTTAATAGTTGTAAATTGATTATATCTACTGACAGGCAAGGAAGTAAGAAATACAATTATCTCCTATCCCTTTTCATTTTTCTTTTTTAATTTCTAATAAAATAACATTTAATCATACCAAAAACTATAGAGATATATCTTATGTTAAATCGGAGAAGTTATGCTTGTGCTTTTTATTATTTCGCTACATTGTATATTAATTTTAAAAATAAGTTGTCGGCGCTGTTAAAGATATAAATTACGATCACATTGTTTGAACACTAGAGAAAAGACACCTGAGTACACATGCATGCACTAAAAGTGAATGAAAGAAAATGGATTCTAGTGTTTGAACGACACCGATTCTAAAAGCGGAATACTTGAGTAGG